TTTTTTTTTTTTTTTTTTTTTTTTTTTTTTTTGCGTTGGGCTTGTCTTAAGTTTTTTGAAATATTCTTTTACTTTGGAAACCAACCTGCAATTGTGCACATTGTTCGGATCTTTATTGATCTTTCACAGGCTTACTTAAGTTTTGCCCAAGCACTGTGTATTTTAGAATTTATGAAAACAATTGAAGGATCTATACATTGCAGTGAAGGAAAAGGAAAAGGAAAAGAAAAGTTGCCTTATTTTTTTGCTTGTTGATTTTCATATGAAAGTATTGCTACTAACGTGGTTACCGACTTGCTGCATGAGTAACAAATGTGGAAAATGACACTAATACTTAGTTTACCGGGAAAGTGAGGTTATGATAACATATTTAAGGACACAGTATGGAATGAAAACCATTGTGTTTGAAGCTCTTGTGGACTCTTCATCTTGTTATTTGTATCTTTTGTGAGTAATTCTGTATTGTCTTTCTGTCCAGGTCAGTGTATATCGTGTACACAGTGCTGGGTGATGTTAGTATATTTGTCGTTGGCAAGGATGAGTATGATGAACTTGCCTGTAAGTGTATTATCATTTATTTGTTTTGATATATCTTGATGGCGAAGAATAAAAGAAATGAATGTGCACGTGCGGTTAATTCTTCAGAGGATTCCGATGAGTCTTAGTAGTGTGTTTTCTTCTTTCTCTTGTATTTTTGGAATTAAAACAGATTTTTCTTGAAAATCTTCAATAAAATATGGTGGTAATTCCCTTTGGTTTGACGTCCTCATTCATTTTTTTTATTATACTTATTTTGAGGGTGTTGCATATTGGTTTTTTTCGGTCAATTTATCTTACTATTAGAATTTTCTTTGTTTAGTATCGGAAGCTATATTTGTTATAACCTCAGCCCTGAAGGATGTTTGCGGAAAGCCTCCAACTGAACGCCTATTCCTTGACAAATATGGGAAAATATGTTTGTGCTTGGATGAAATTGTTTGGAAGGTTAGTATTATTTGGTTAATATATTACCATATGTATTATATTGTGGGATATTTTGACTAGCAATTCTGTCAGCTTGTATCATCGATGATTTTCTTCATTACTCTTATGGATATTGAAGTGCTTCATATTCGCACTGATCGTAGTTACTTTTCATTGAAGGGTCTTCTGGAGAACACCGACAAAGATAGAATCAAGAGGCTTATACGGTTAAAACCACCCACCGAGTTCTAAATTTATCGACATCTTGCCTTGTCTGGTTTTTAAATTGAATTTTGAGGACTGGCCTGTACTTTCAACGCTTGAAGCTAACATACTATGGTTGTATTTGAACAAAATATTGTAGAAACAATTAGACGCTGACCGAACTGCACATTGCACACTGATTTTAGGATCGGTGCTATTCGTCTACTTCATGTTTTATGTTTTCAGTTCAATCTATCTTTTTTTTGTTAGTTTTGCAATTTTTTCTATAATTATTAATTATTCAGCTAATTTAGGCTGTTAGATGTAAGCATGATAGGAGGTTAATTTCACATTTTTCCTAATGTTATTAAGCTAATTTAGCCTATTAGATGCAATGTTTCTTTCACAATAAACTTAATAGCATATATCAACGTTGAAGAATCTGAATAAGATCTCCTATTTCACTATCATGTTTCATTCTTTTGGATGAATTAAGCCATATATAAATATATGACATTATTATACACATCTCCACCATCCAATGAAATGAAAAAAGAAACACTAGTGGAACTGTAAATCTCTTTCATTATAAACTGGTTGGGCATTTGATTGTAGAACCTGGCTTCATTATTGATTGGCCTCGAGTTAGCCGTTGGATAACGTACAGCTCAATAATTAATTTAGAATTTGATATAGCACAAGAGAGCACTTTGGGTAGACCGGCAGAAATCAGCTCGGTTTATGAGCCGGAAGTGTGTTTGCAGGATTGTTGGTCGGCCAGATGTAATAGTCTGTCAATGTGCGGGCTCAGCCCAAGAACAAATCGGCCAGATGAGTGGGTCAGGTAGGTTGAGGAGGTGGGCTAGCACTTAAATGGGCTTGGTAGTTATCACATCAGCGGATGAAGGAGCAAGCGTGGAGAGGAAGCTAATGACTTGCATATAAATAGGTAAAGCAGTTATGATGAGGGGCTAAGTTTCTTGACATCACTAAAACCCTAAAATACAAACGAATCTTTCCTTGATACCCTACTAACTTGAGCGTTGGAGATTTACCGCCGGGAACACTTCCCGGCGTCTTTGCAGGTTTCGGAGAGCTCAAGCGGTTGGGTTCAAGGAGAGCCGGTCTAGTGTGCAATAGCACATCAATTGGCGCCG